TGGATATTAATACGGCTCCATACATATAGCCAAGAACAGTAGAGGGGCCACGAATCCACGATCACAAGACGGAGTCCGCGGGCCCGAGTTATTGACAGGCTCGCTCGCTAGCTCGGAGCGCCTGGCCAGGGGAAGGTTGACTCGTGGCGGTGGGCCGTGGCATCTGCCAAGGAATCTCGCCTAGGGATTCTAATCTCGCCACCTCAAAGACATCCTTCGAGAGCCATCTTGCCCATAGGCGGCTCCCGAACCTCAGAGAAATCACAGAGGGAGTGAATATTTAACTTCACTAAACAAACATACGCCTGGCAACGGTCCAGACTATATCTAAATCTCTATGTTACTCGACTTAATTGGCACAGAAGTTACTATGTTAAAACATGAACACTGATATTCACAAAATTGACTAAGTTAAACTGAATTAATATGGCGGCGCGGAACACACGTGAACATACCTGGAGACGTGGAGGAGAAATCACAGAGGGAGTGATTTTTCCTCGCGCGCCGGCATATATCCGAGCCTGAGGGCATATCCCTACTAGAAAGACTAATTTCACTAACAATAGACCCTCTTTTCAAAGTAATCGTTGGACACCTAGCTGTGACCGTCAGTGTCACAGATCAGGCTAATTTTCTACATCTATATTTATGATCTAATCAGAGATTGAGTTTGTCAGTAAAGAGGTGAAATGGAGTTATATATGCGTTCTCAACTCTATTGGCCTGACCGCAAACCACATCCCAGGTCAAACGGCCGTTAAGTCTTGGAGAATTTTGAGTTTGACAGGAACTGTTCAGGAGATTAATGACTTTCTTAAATAGACAACTGACACTAACTAAACTATAAACATCAGATTCTCTGATGTCAGGGCGACAAAATAATATAACTTCAGTAGCGGTCAGAAACTCATGGGTATCCCCACGGACGACATAAAATACGCCACTCAAGCTGGCAAACTCAACACTGGCTTACTTGACACATTTTACTAACAATAAGGACAGCTGAAGCGTTCAACACCACTCACAATGGATCTTGAATGTTCCAACTGTAAACAGACATATCTAAGTTGACTCAAAACAAGGGTGTTCTCTCTCACATTCAAATTCATTTTGTAGAGAGGTTAGTTTCAGTAAGTCAGAGAAAATGGGATAACGGAGGACTGAGGCGTCTTGAAGTGATCAGAAAAACGGACTCCTCAGATGGGCTATTGAGTGTAATATGAATCATTTGATTTTGGCGTTAACTGACGTGTATGACCGTGGTCGTTACAGGGTGACCATTCTAATCCCTCTAACTATCGCTCCATTGCCCTAACTTCATCCCTCTCTAAGATTTTCGAAACTATCTTGAACTCCCATTTTCTCCGTCACCTTGAACGCCTTCTCTTTTGTCGGATCACCAGTATGGCTTTCGCCAGGTGAGATCTACTGGTGATCTGCTCTCCTACTGCACCCATCTTTGGTCATCCTCTCATAGGGATTATGGGGAAACTTTCGTCGTAGCCCTCGACATCTCCAAAGCATTTGACAGGGTATGGCACAAGTCGTTGCTATCTAAACTTCCCTCTTTTGGTTTCTCTCCCCCACTTTGTTTTCTCATCTCTAGCTTCCTTGAGAACCGATCCGTGGCAGTTGTTGTCTAGGGATCGATCTCTCGCTCTTTCTCTAACAGTAGTGGTGTCCCACAGGGCTCTGTTCTTTCACTCTCTTCCTTTTTTTATCAATGATTTACCTCACACTACAACTAATTCTATCCATTCTTACTCTGATGATCCTACTCTTCACTCTTCTTCACATTTTCCTCTTCATCCTAACTCTCAAACTAGATCTGTTTCTAGAACTGATATCATCACTTCTATCAATGCGGATCTGTGCATCTCTGAATGGGGAGGTACAAACTTGGTTAAGTTCAATAGTAATAAAACTCAATGTTTACCAATTATACTTTGTAAATTAGATGATCTCCCACCAATTACATTTCAGGATGCTATCATCCTGCCAAATTCTGAAATAAATATGTTAGGCCTCACCATTTCCTCCAATATGTCCTGGAAATTACACATCCTTAATATAGCTAAAGCTGCCTCCCGAAAGTTGGGAATGATGTACAGATGCCGTAGCTACTTCACTCCTGAGTAGTTGCTCCAAGTATATAAAGGATTCATTCTGTCCAACTATTAGATAGGGTGGAATCAAAGGCATTTCGTCTTATTAACTCTCCTCCTTTAGTCGACAATCTCTCTTCCCTTTCTCTTCATCACAATGTTGCTTCACTCTCTCTTTTACAGGTACTTTAACGGGCAATGTTCGGTGGATTTGGCATCCTGTGTACTGCCGGCAAGGCCATGGGATCATAACACATGTCTTGCCGCGGTGCCCACCGTTTCTCTGTGGATGTCAGTCACACGAGAATAACCCGTTATAGTACCTCCTTCTTTCCTCACACAGCCAAACTGTGGAATGCTCTGCCTTCTTCTGTGTTTCCATACTTATACACTCTGTCTCTCTTTAAAAGCTGGTTTCCCGGCATCTTCGTGGTGTAGATTAACACAATACTGTACCTGTATAACCTTATCCTTCTCTATTTCCAATTTCTTTCTGGGGTTTTTTTTCGCTCCCCAGACCCCGTTGTGGGTCGTTTGACCTGTGCCTGGGTTGGCTAATTCCCGTAAAAAAAAAATAATAATTAAATATTATTTATATACTCATTAGTTCAACCTCTAAAGTAGACACAGAGGTGCAGTCATCAGTTTAATGATTATGAATTTATTGTTACAAAAATAACCCCAGACAACTTGATTAATTGGTCACTAACAGTAACAATATGTTACGATGGGAACAAGACACTTTTTGTTGTCATAGTCCACGCTACTGAACCATATGTTAAGGTGGGAACTAGAGTCTATTTAGTGTATTTTTATTTATATACAGAAATATGGAAATAGTGTACAGTACACCCTCGGTATACTCGTTCATTCTCTGTTATTTCGATCATGTTTCCACTCTTTAAAATGAATAGGCTTCTAAGGTAATTGAATTTTTTCTATATACTTTTCACTTGTGTTCCATTAATTTCAATATTTGATTAATCTTCTTCATTACAGCCATTCAAAGTTATCTTTTAAATCTCCCTACAGGCCATTCAAATTCATATCAATAATGATATGGGGATAGTACACTTCCTTGTGCATTATCATTATTATTATTATTATTATTATTATTATTATTATTGTGGAAATTAATTTGTACTGTATAATTCCACGTAATGATATTACATTGTAAATAACACCGTGTAGCAACTTGCCCCGTGGAACCCTGAAGCACCTACTTATATTCGGGTAGTGAGATGGCGTGAATTCAACGTGAAATAATAGACTTGTTGTCAGGGGTAGATCATGTATTTTTCACAATAATTCGTATAATCCATGATTCACGTGTATAAAAATATAAGTATTAGTGTTTGTTTATTACTATTATAAATAATTAGTCCGATGAACGTCAGTAGCAATCAGATAGTTTTATTGGGTTAAGGCGAGTTAATATTTCTCGTCTAATTAATTTAAATTTGTTAAATTAGTTTATAAATAAACTACAGGTAATTATCGATTATCATTGCATTTTAACAGTAAAACTAAGTTATACGGATGTACTTTAAACTACTGTAATAAATTAGTTAAGCATGAGGTGTCAAATGATGTTTGGTTCCGTGAGACATGCCTGAATCCTTTCTCGACCAGAGCGAAGACACGTCTGACATGACCAACAAGTGATTGTGTTTACTTAATGCTCCGGTTATTGTCTCAATGTGACAACATTACAGACTGGCTGAAGTCTTCAGAGAACTTCATTAAATATTCATAACCCCGTCCTACGATAAGGTAAAACTAAGTACTGTATCTGAAAGAACTGTATGAGAAAGGTGATTTCAAGTTAGCAAAATAAATTACTGTATTTGTGAGCGTAAAAAAATACTACAATTATTGTTGTTCATTATTTTTTGTTAGAGCCCTGTATCTGGGTCCGTTAACAAAATAATACAGTAATACCTCGGTTTACGCGGTTCTCGTTTACACGTTTCCACATCTAAGCGGTACCCAGCCAGAACCGGAATGCCCAATTTACCCTGCATCTACTCATATACGCGGGAAGCGGCGCTGGCAGGGTGCGCACAAGGTCGCCCAGTCATCAAAACATTACCGAGTTCTTCACCCGCCATCCACCACAGCCGGCCCAAGTCAGTGATAGTGCTAGTAATAGTGAGGATATGGACTTATATGGACTTTGAGGGGTTTGACAAAGAGGCCCTGCAAGCCTCTGTGGTGGATAGTGATGCAATTGATACAAGTGATACAGGTGAGGGCCAATAATCTGCCCTCTGCTTCGGAACCAACCCCCCATCCCCGTGTGCCCAGCCATCTTTTCTACTAATGCATGTGTTAAAAAACCTAATATTATTGATATTTATCTTAATTATTAATTGTGTGTGCATACCAACATAAAATTAAGATTTTATTTTTACTACAACGTAGGTATTGTGTCTGAAAAAGTGTAGTTTGGGAGTCGACCCAGTCTCTATTGCAATTAATCCCATATGTTCTGTTATTCCATTTACGCGTTTCTCGTTTTACGAGCTACTCCGCGGGTTCAATTGACCGCGTAAATCGGGGTATTACTGTATGTTTAACTTAGGGATCGTCAGTAGGGTTTAATGAGGGGCAGCTGTGACATAATGGGCAGGAAGCTCACTTCCCAAGCAAGTGGACTCCGGTTTAATCTCTGGGAAAGTTGAAATGAAGCAAGTTTTTTTTATACATATATACCATATGCCTCTGTCTACCCGGCAGTAACTGGAGACCTTGATATTCTGAAACTTCCTAGGTAATGGTCATGTTGGCGACAACGTCTGCACCCAAAGAAGTTTAAGCCTAGGTGGCCTTAGGGCCCATCCGCTTTGGACATGAGGAGCAAACATTAGTATAATCTGTTTCTGGGCATCACAGGCACACCGGCTCGTGTTGGCCATGAGTTCACCAGTGTTCGAAGCTATGTTGTATGGCCCCCTGGCAGAAGGCCCTGACTTAACAATCCACGATGACCCTCCAGAGGCCTTCGAATGGTTGTTGGACTATATGTACAGGGGTCATACTAGTCTACCAGCAGTACCACTCACAGTGCAGGTGTACCAGCTGGCCAGCAAGTACCAGATGGAAGCTCTTATGACTTTATGTTCACAGGTAAACTAAATTTTAATTACACAAGTTTTTATCATTACAGTCAAAGTATTTCATTCAGCGGAGGTGTTAATATGACTTTTAGTCATTTGACCACTTTCGACATTTTATTTAACTAACGGCAGACGATTTTCTTCGGCAGAGACTGACTTCCGTATACAAGTGGATAATAACAGAGCAGCTTCAGGAATTATCGTGAACATAATTGTTAGGTTTGAACATTATAGCTATTTTTTCTTTGTTATACAGGTGTCATCATCATCATCATCATTGTATGGCCATTTTCTATGCTTGTGTGGGTTAGGCAACTTTCAGTAGATAGACAAAAATAGAACACACAATGTTGGGGCGAGTGATCAGTATATTACACCAACATTGTAAGAAGCATTTATGTCTACTGAGTGCAATATCCTTCCTATCCCAAGAACCGCTGGATCTTGACCAAGGCACCCCCAGTCTATCCAGCTGTGAATGGGGAAGAAAAGGAGGTCGAGTGAAGTGTCGGCCACATTGGCTCCTTGTGCACCGAAGACTTGGCTGGGATTCACTTTAATTTTTCTTTCGTAAATAACGAAATATGATCTTCACAATAATAATATTGAAAACATTTGTTACATGCTATAAGTTCTGGGCTGAGGATTACTGTTCTCCACATATGGTCGACCTTTAGCAATGGCTCACCAATATACTGTGTTGCCAAAATAAATGATTCAGTAAACACGACCATGAAAACATCTTCCAAAAGTGGTTGACATATTTTATATGTGATTTTTTTTTTTTTTTCATGCGAGAAACTTTCTCGTGTCTGGCGATGATCATTGTACACTACGACCTGAAGGCCCATGGAAGGAGCGGAGGAGTAAAAGATATGCGTAAAATAACTGTTGGCGTCAACTGTGAACTAAGGCAGTAGTGAGTCGTGACTGACCCTCCAGTATCAGAAATAACTCAGAATTATCCATAAATAACGAAATAATTCCTCAGTGAAACTCTACAAAAAATATAAAATGCTGCAGTGGCATTTGCTGGACGGGGTTTTAAGTGTAGATGAAACCTAAAATGAAAAACCACAAAACAAAAATTTGAATTTCATCACTGTAATGAAAACATTAATTATATACCTTTTCACATATCTGTTGAGACATTGTTACATAGCTATTTGACAAATTTCATAACCGAATGACAGAACACATATCGAATGACAATCTAAAATAACTGTTATTTCATGCTAACAGAAGTGATTGACATAAGCTATGAAGTTGACAGACGTGAACAATAAACCGACAGTCTACATATAGTTTGAGAATGTAACAATTGGAGAATGACATACCACCAACAGTTATTTTAGATTGTCATTCGATATGTGTTCTGTCATTCGGTTATGAAATTTGTCAAATAGTTATGTAACAATGTCTCAACGGATTTGTGAAAAGGTGTATATTGACATAAATATTTTCCAGATGATTGACGAAGATCTTTGTCCTGTAATACTAGTCTTAGTTACCTCGTATCTTTTGTGCTACGATAAGGTCATCATTAAATATAGCTGACCTGAAATGTTGCCACAAATGCTCTTGTTTACTCTGAGCACACCATAAGGAGATAATGAATTTGGTATATAATCATCACCAACAAAAGGTCACCTTTAGGTATAGAGTAAAACCAGGGTGTTTAACAGTGCTGCCGGCACTATTTTGTCTTAAATAAAAGAGGAATAGAACTACTTAATCTAATTATTTACAATTTATAATGTCACTAAACTAATTAGAATTATGTAGCATAAAAATATATACTAAAACATTCTCAGAAAACAGCAGACTTAGTGACAATACTGTACTTTGTTAATAAGATCAAAATTATTAATAAATATTTATCATGCCGTGCAGCACCTAAAGGCGACGCTGTCGGCCACGAACCTGCCTGAAATGTACGACACAGCCATCCTGCTTCAGGACAACACCCTCCTGCAGCAATGTTCCCTGGTAAGTAAAGAACAGATCAATGTATGAAATACTTTTATATGTTATTGCATTAGCCTGTAGTGGATTTCTCCCCTACAAACGCTGTTTGTCCCTGCGTCGCCGACCCCGCGAATTCCCCAGTGTATGCCTCGTGGTCTGGGTCAACCAGCGCCGCCATACATCACGGAGGTCAACTACTAAGCCACGCCTACCCCTGCTATTTAAGACCTGACCTCGTGGTGATCTCTCTTTCTACCTACACCGACCAGCCAGTGGCACCTCCTCCTCCTCCGCCTGCCTGGCGGTCCTCGCTCCCGCCGGCGAGCATGGCGACCCACAAGCTGTCCTCCTCTGAGCACCCTCACCAACCAGCTCTCTCTACATCACGCTTGTAACCACGCTGCCACTTCCCAGCACCAAGCTGCATTGTACATCCAATACAACATGTATACAGAGAGCACATCGTGATTTTTGAGTCTCGAACCCAAACATCCATTACCCCACAAATGGTGACCCCGGAGTGACCACTCACACAGGATGAAGGAGAAACTGATCACTCTCCCAGTCTTCAAGCAACATGGAAGACTGGCTTATCCACCCAGAAGCAGCTCTCATCGGCTCTACAGCTACTGTCTCTAAACCGCAGGTTAGACACCCTAGAGCAGCTCTGCTACTCTAAGCAGACAGCCGCTCCTCTTCCTGCCCCAAGCACCACGTCCTACCGACCCCAACACATCCGTCCTGCCTCAGACGCCGCCCCGGCCCAGCAGTACCCCCTGCCGCTTCTCCTGACGCGGCCCCTGCTCCTGAGTGCGGACCCACACACCCCTCTTTTCTCCCTCAGGTACTCCCTACTAATGTCCTGCACCCTGCTGCTGTCGTGGACCCAGCTGCTGTCACGAGCCCTCATCCGCTTCTGCTGACGCAGCCCCTGCTCCTGACCCAGGCCCACACACCCCAGCAGGAGCATCTGACGACTCTGTACCTGCCGTGAGGGAAGCACAACATTCATCGCCTCCACACACCCCTTTTCTCCCTCTCTACTCCCACAGATAGTGTGTATCTAGACAGTTGTCTCCTCTAGCTGCCGGCTCATCCACGCCATCGCCGTTATGGCTCACATGTGGCATGCACCGCCCGTTCTGCCTCACATGTGCCATGCAACCCTGCAGACAACAAGTCTCCTACACCGCCTGGAGGGAAGGAGGGAGTATTGTAGTGGATTTCTCCCCTACAAACGCTGTTTGTCGCTGCGTAGCCGACCCTGCGAATTCCCCAGTGTATGCCTCGTGGTCTGGGTCAACCAGCGCCGCCATACATCACGGAGGTCAACTACTAAGCCACGCCTACCCCCGCTATTTAAGACCTGACCTCGTGGTGATCTCTCTTTCTACCTACACCGACCAGCCAGTGGCACCTCCTCCTCCTCCGCCTGCCTGGCGGTCCTCGCTCCCGCCGGCGAGCATGGCGACCCACAAGCTGTCCTCCTCTGAGCACCCTCACCAACCAGCTCTCTCTACATCACGCTTGTAACCACGCTGCCACTTCCCAGCACCAAGCTGCATTGTACATCCAATACAACATGTATACAGAGAACACATCGTGATTTTTGAGTCTCGAACCCAAACATCCATTACCCCACAAGCCCTTGTCTAACAAACAGCAATACTTATATAAATGTGGGTTACATACATTAGGTTTATATAATTACATCAGGGGGTAACTTTTCTATGAACATGTGACAGTGTATTCTCACTGTTCCCTCACACCTTGACCACAGAGTCATCAATTAAGTAGCTGGCTATCGCCACTGGGACGTGTGCTCTAGGAAGCTAGATATACCCAAGCTTCGTCCATTATTAACGCTCACAGCTCATAGTGTTAATTACGATGATATCCCAGTTTCAAAACTTAGCCCATAAACATTATGAATGTGGTTTCCAGTTCACCTCTAGTTAGTGCTACCACAGGAAAACGGAAACTGCAACATTATTCTAAACTAAACTTGTACCATATAGCAATACATGACAAACTGAAAGAGGACTAATTAAGACATGATCAGATCGGTGTGCTGTACAGTACACCGAGACACACATCAACATGAAGTGACAGACACACAAAGAGGACTAAGGCAATTGAGGGGCTATCCTATGGCGCCATACCTAAGGTACGCCTTTATGGCGGAAATGACAATACGTTAGTTAGACGGCAGACTCATTTTGACACTGATGCTAGGAACATTTTAAAGTTTGGAGGCAATGTGCAACTGCCTGTTGGTGGCTGTGATGGCCATTTTTAAAGTGGCCGCAACATCACATTAAAATACTGTACTCAGTATCTCAGTTTCTATTGTAGTTAGACCTTTGATTTTTGTGGCTTTACTCATGTTTTCAGGCCCAATATTGGCACTGCTGTACGATATGTCATTCTTTCTGAAATCCAAGTTGACAGGTGTAGCAGAATTACTCTTCTAATGTGTTATCTTACTTTAAACACTTACAAACAACAATAAATATAAAAAGCCCCCATTAATATTTCAATTATTTGTTATACAGTACAGGAATAACTATTATTCAAAATACTGTATGTTTGTGGTAGATCGCACAAAGAGTGTCTCAGAGAAAGTGAGACTACCAGAGAAAACCAAACCCCGGTCACAAAAGCAGCTTTATCAGTGCGACAGGATCGAAGTTTGTTCTCTACATGTCAAGTCCGTGATACCAACCTTACTGACTTCTTCCAACATCTGTCTATGATTCTATGGAAATATGAGATTTGGAATTAAGTTAAACTTGCTTCTTCTTCTGGAAGACTTAGTACCATACCATGAGAGTGACAGTTTCCAACATAATGTAGATATGGCAATTCTTGATGGAGCAGCAAGTGTCAACATGGTCAAGCCAGATACTTGAATATGTACACCAGCTCATGGAATACATCAAGCGTCAATTTAAAGGTTCTGTGAAGCGAGTAGATATGGTGTTTGATGTATTCAAAGCAGACAGCGTGAAATCAGAGACAAGAGAAAAGGGGGAACGTGGTACCAGACGACGAGTTGATGGAAGACAAAAGCTCCTAGGGAATTGGCCGGGCTTTCTGGAAGAGAGTGAAAATAAAAAAAAACTCTGCCATTTTATCAGTACCCAGGTCAACCTGGAAGAGTTACCATGTATTGTATTGGTTATTATCAGGAACATGTAATATGATCGGAACCAACCTATCCAACTGAAGGACTATCCCCATGTTAAGATGAGGAGGCAGACACCTGCATGGTTCTGCATGCTACAGACGAAGTACATCGAGGATACAGAATAATAGGCAATGGATGTCTTTGATACGGGACGGTCCTTCCCTTATCTTGACGTTACACAGATGGCCGAGGTATTAGGTGAGGAAAGACGTTCAGCTCTGCCTGCTTCCCATGCACTAACTGGCTGTGATGTCACCTCATCATTTACAGAAAAGGGCAAGCGTACAGCTTGGATTGCTTGGCAAGCTTACAATGGACCGACAACTGCCCAAACTCCAACACCAGATAGCACGGCAGCCATCCTCCCATCCATCGAAAGATATATCGTGATAATGTATGTTAGTGCAAGGCAGGTTCTGTTCACACAAAAGTGACGAGAAATTGAAAACTTACCACCAATGCATGATGCACTCACTCAGCACTTGCTTTGAGTTGGCTATGAAGCTGGTCATGAATGGGGCCAGTCGTTGTTGAAGCAGGTGTTGCTACCTAGCCCAGCAGAATCTGGATAGACAAGTGAGACAGTGTCAAATGTGTGGAAGCCTAAATGAATGACACTACCGCCTGCCAGGGAAGCCTGTGTAGTTAATGCCACTTTTAGGTGTGAATCTAGCGAAATTCATAAATAGGAGTTGACAACTGGAAGGAGTTCAGTATCAATGTTGGTAACACTGTTCGGGTAATTAACTAGATTTAGAATTTTTTGCTTACCGTAAATGAAAATATACAATACAACATCCACAGAAACAAGCTACATAACAGATACAAACAAACATATTTCGTTCTCAGAACTAGTATTCACGTCTTGGTCTTATCAAACGTACCATGAGTATGATATGTGATTACTGCAGGGGGACGTCGGATATGGAGGATACAGGCCTGACCAGTGCAACGTTTAGGAAGATGCTAACTGCCGTAAAGCAGGAAGGCTGTTGCATGCTGGTATTGCCCTGACTGCATAGTCAAGGTGAAAGAGGCGATTGCAAGCCATAAGGGAACGAGTTCCCTAGGGACGAAAATAGATAAAGCTGGAGCCTTGCTGGTTGACAAACTGGAGCAAGTTGAGAAAGAGATCCTTGCTCAGACTGAGGAAGTAGCCGACAGAATGGAGGTGGTTGCTAAGAGGAGTTATGCTGAGGCATTAGCAGGGCCACGTGGGGTGGCAGGATCAGAACAGGTTCTACAGCAGCTAGGGACTCTGAAGAAGTGTGTCGAAGAAATGAAAATTAACGGACCTACTGTTAGGGGAGAGGAGGAACAACGGGAACTTTTCCAGTGCAGGAACAATGTAATAGTTTTGGAGTCCCCGAGAGCCAGGCGGAGGCAACTGAGAGTAAGGTAACACACGATAAAATGCAGTTTCAAAATATTTGTACAGAGGTTCTGAAGATGCCATCAACCCCACAGGATGTGAGGAGGCTGGGACAAAAGCAGGGGATAAGCCTCGCCCCCTCAGGATCACACTAGTGAGCAAGGAGGAAAAATGGCGGGATATTCGGCAGGCAAAAAACTTAGCAAGGAGCGAGGCATTTCGGGATGTATTCATTCACCCAGACCGCACGGTAATGCAGAGGGAACAGCACAAGAAGCTCCTGTAGGACTTGAAGCAGAAGAGGGAGGAGTCGAGGAGGAATGGGGACAGGTGTACATGGGTTATACTCAGGGGGAGGGTAGTGGAACCAAGTGTGCAGACACAGGGCCAGGGGGCAGCAGTGCACCCTCCACCCACTCAACCCCCCACCCGGGAGGCGGCACCAGCTCAGCCTACCGG